ATATATATATATATAGAGCTTGATATATGACAAATCTCATGTTTGTGTGTGTGTGTGTGTGTGTGTGTACGACATACGTATACGCAATCTTTCTTATTCTGACTCAGGATCACGAGTTCATTGCATGGAAATATACCGTGATTAAACATGTAAAAATTAATATTTAACTATATTAAAAGTCGAATTTTAGGTATTAACAGTAATTCAGAGTCGAATGTCAAAAGTCATCAAATATAAAGCAAGATACGTTCATTTCGGCGTTTTGTAACGATTAACAAACAAGTTTCACTAATAAATATCACTCGTTGATCCAACATATTAATCATGTCAGTCATTTCGTACATTAATTCGTTTTTCTATCAATGGACGTATCGATTGCAAATTGGTATTGTAAGTGAAAATGTTATTATTTAACGTTTCACGGATTAAAGTTTCATTCCTGTAATTATAATTTCACGTATATTACACGCACCGAGCTTTGTGCGTTGAATGCTTACAGTGGAAATGCGAAGTGTTCTTACTTTTAAATTCGTTTTTCCTTATTCGCAATAAGTATAAAAGTCGATAGAAGTAGGCTGCAAAATATTATGATCGATTACGAAATTAGATATGTTCCTAAAACAGTTTGGAAAGGACATATTAACACGGTGTGTTAATAGCTGCCGAAGGCAAAACGCCTTTAAAATACATATTCGTCTTCCTCTCATTTTCATACAATGGCAATTGTCAGAATGCTCTTATAAGGATTATCTTGTGAATTGGATACCGGATATAAGAAATCGTACAAATAGGGAGATCACGGAAAAAATAGAGTAACTCTGTCCGAATCTTATATCAAACCTACAAAATACTCGTCTCGTTTCCATTCACCGACGAATGAATGTTGTTTCTTTACGATCACGAAGCTTTTTCAACCGATCGAAGATTTCCAATAACTTTTTACAATTCACTTAATAGACTTCATCAGTGACATATTGTCATGTGTAGAACTTTTTTAACCGTAATAAATCGGTGAATTCTCGAGAATCCCGAATTCAAGATCGTAATTGTCTCTTGTATCGTATCGTGCTATGCTAGAGATTGGTGCTTTCTTGATCCGATTTAGGCCGTGCAGTAGGCGGCGGCGGGGGCGGCGGTTGCGGCCTCGGCGGTCGCTGGTGAACTCTTGGTGAGGCTGGCTTCTGTTGCGGCGACTTGAGAACCGTCACCACCGTATTGGTCTGCGTTTGGACATCTATAATATTACCTTCCGATCTGGTGCGTGCGTGCGCCTTCGCCTGCTGTTCACGCGGCGCGTCCGGCCTCTCGGGCTTCTCCGAGCGTTCAGCGCCATATAATGACATCGACGACGGCCTGCTACCCACACTTGGACTTCTCTGCAAGTTCGAAGTTGCCGTGTTGCCAGTGCTCTCGCCCGGGATGGCGTTGTTCCCCCCACGCACTTGTATTATACTGACCTGCTGTTTGTCCACGGAATACACATGAGCTCGTTCCAGCGTTAAAGGCTGTAGACGATTTAAAAAAAAAGAAAACTTAGAGTTTCATCATAAATTATTATTTAACAATATACATAACAAAGAATGCCATTAGAAAGCAAATATGTACGCGTGAAAAAGCTTTAGATCAATTGCGGTGCAGCTTTTATTTCACATATAGCTTACGTTATCTCAAAATGTAATATCCAGGCAGTGTTATTTGTTGTCCACTCGTAGTAACTACATTTATAAATAATTATCATATATCTGTACAGATGAAACTTTAGCTGCGCTAAATTATTACTCACCCCCGGATCGGTTTCTAGATTATCGTTAGTGGAACGTGGCTGTTGCCTCATAAGACTCGACGGGCGAATTAAACCAGGTGGTCGTTCAGGTATCGCCGGTTTACTGCTTATTCTTTCATTCGGTGTTATGTTCGTATTACTCTCTAGCTTTTTACGTAATTCGACTCCTTCTTCTGCTACAATTAAACACAGATATCATCATAATCAAATAATATTTTATATTAATACTTTATATTAAAATAATATTTTAAGAAATATTTTACCTGTTGTGTTATGCACGATATTCGTTATACTTCTCGGTGCTGCAATCGGTCTTTTTCTTTCTAATGTGGTTGGTTTCTCTGTAGGCACTGGTTTTGGTCTCTGCACTATAGTCTCATTATGCTCCATTTCTGGATGAAGGTTAATGTTGCTAATTATTTTAGCAATACTTGTACTATCGGACGAGTTTCCATTTGGTTTCTCCTTTGCACTCGGTGCATTTATTTTTACATCGCATTTCTGTTGTTCTTGGACACTTTTGTCTGCTTCATTGTAATTGAATACTTCACTTTGGTGAATGATGGTTTCCTGCAATCGTTCGGGATTATCGGTAGAATGAACCTCTGTCGAAATCAATTCTGAGACCGATTGTGATTTCGGTTCCGTCTCCAAATGCTTTTCTTGTATATCTCGTTTTTCTACATTGCTTTCGTGTCTTATCAATTCGGTATTCACTTCGTGCTTTTGACTTTTATATGTTGCTCGATTCAGAGTGGACGTCAAGGCTCGCGGTGGTTTGTCTGGTGTCGGTGGAGGTTTGTCATGTCGATCTGGAGTATTGCCGCTTGGCGGTGTTGGCGCTAGTTTATTCTTTCGACGTGCTGCTGGTTTCGGGCTGCCTTGCGTTGGACTTTCGCCGTGATCACTAAGACTACTGTTAGATACACAGCGGCGCATGCCGACTGTCTGATGTTCTGTATCATTGATGATGCCCCAAAGATCACGATCAAAATCCACTTCGCCAGGGAAGAACCAATCTGCATACGTAACTAATTGGTCTACTATAAGACTAGAGTTGTTTGCTGTACTCATGTTCATCCTGCAAACATAACAGAAGCATGAGCAGTTTTTCTAATAATTATTCATTAAAGCATTCTAATACGAACACACACACACACACACACAAACATATAACAAAGAAAGAATTGCTTACACTATTGTATTTGTGTCCTCTTGTGGACTCCAAATTAGATTTGGTGCGATGACGATAGCGATATTTTGCGGCGTCATTTTATTTACATCTTGATTCTTCGTGAGCACAGCTAGAAACTTAATTAAAAACCGCAAGTTTTCCAGGTTCGCCGGTGGTAACTTGTGTAATACTTCCCAAAGAGCTCGTAATCTCATATCACTGTGTGAGATTTTTACAGCAGCCATCCATTCGGGATACAATCTGATGTATAATATATACATAGACATTATATTATTATATGTACAGTGATAATTATTGATTTTGATTGAGTGTAATATTTACTTGTACGTCAATAAAGGCTCTGGTAATTCCCGTAAATATGATTTCAACGCGCCGGCAATAACATGTGGATCTTTGTATTCAAGGGCCGTCGTTAAAGTAAGACAGCAGGCGTCCAGACTTAATTTAATTCGTCGTGATTTCGAGGCGGCGCCAGCTATTCTGAAAAGACCTTCCTCCTCTATACCTAAACGCAGTAACGCGGATACACACAGTTGTATGGGCAGTGCGATTTTTCTGTTTGTTACTCTAAGATGCTCTTCAAGGGGATATCCATAAACAGGTTTCATTTCATTGTCATCTGTAATTGTGATTGTAGTATAAGCGTCTTTCGCTTTTATTTATGAGTTGTACCAATTTGTACTAAGATTTTACTATATAAGAGCATTTTTATAATTTATAATTTAACTTAAAACTTACTAATATAGCATTCCAATCCAGGTATAAGATCTTCAAGACAATGTAATGCACTTTCATGATATGCTCGTTGAAGTTTTACATACTGAATAATCGTCTGAGCTAATTCAGTCTCACGTGACATGAGTTGGAACATCTCTGCTGCCAACTGATCTCGGCATTGCTCAACTTTCGATTCGGCATCCTCTAGTTCTTCTCTCAAGTTTTCTATCTTTGTTGCTCCTGGACCTATGTTATAAAATATAACATAAACCTTAGATATTTTAAATAATTTTTCTAGCACATTTCAAATTTTTGTAAATCTTTATAAATCGCTTTGTATATGTAGAATAAATCAAAAGAATTTCATATAATAACAATATATAATACATCAAATAAAATAAAGAAAAAAAAAACAAATCATTACCAGTACTAAGTTTACTATGACTAAGTTTAACTGCTTGAAAATATCTCGTTCTGGCACTGTCCATATCCATAGTAAGACGATGCAGATTTCTCTTATGCTTCAATATATTTGGTACATCAGTGTCTAAAATATGTTGCAGCGGAGTAGCCACATATTGTTCGACTTTAGCCTCGTGTTCCATGGCTTCGTTAGCCAGTGACATCTGCACTCGTCCACATTCTACTAGCGCAAAACTCATGAGGCCATCCTCGCCGGCATTCTCCAACATAGTTTGCCCGAGTACATACTCGGGGCATTTTTTCTAAAAAAATAAAGGTTTAGCAATCATTTAATGAATTTTAGAATAAAAGCAATAAATATAAAGAGTCTTTAAAGAAGTAATTTTATCTATAACTTGAAAAAAACATTAATTTTTTTATATTCTTTTAATATTTAGAATCTCAAAAAAAAAAAGTTCCTATAT